GTTGGCTGGTGTGTGCAAAGGACAGAGACAGGATGGTTTCATCTGCCAACAGCAGGGCTCATATTATGATGTCCAAGGGTGAAGTCATTGTTCCCCTCACTGCACCTCTAGAAGCTCCTTGTGGGGTGGATAACTTTATTTACTGTTGGCATAATGCCGTCATCTGAAGATAAACTAATCAAGGTCAGCCTTTGCCATTTCTCTAATGTAATTTATTTGATTAAATTATTTTATGTGCTCAATTTTATAGGTAATATATCTGTTATTCTCCTTCAGAAAATAAACTATCACAGACTATTTGTAGGTGTCCCTGTGACTCTGCCATAACAAGGACAGTATTAAACAAATATTTGATGCACACAACTTTCATTTATTGACATTTTCTTGGCCCTGCCTCTGTGTCTGGAACTAGAGGGCGGAGTAACACCTAGAGAGCTCCTAGGTAATGCCTGGCATGTGCTAGTGCTCAGCAAGGGCCAGCTCTCTTGCTCCGGGAAATCAGACAAGTCAGGCAGAATGAGCCCCGCCCTGGAAGCACACAGAAACAAACGGACCAAGGTCAAGCGACCAGGAGTGAACAGAGAAGTCCAGACACAGGGACTCCAGGCAAAACGTTGTTCCACTGGCTTCAGCACAAGAAAGGGAAAAGCCAATTATCCTGAAAAAATTACTGCATAAGCATTGCCCTGAAATTATTTAACTTTTTTTTTTTAAGACGAGCTCTCACTGTTGCCCAGGTTGGAGTGCAGTGGTGCAATCTCGACTCACTGCAGCCTCCACCTCCCGGGTTCTAGCGATTCTCCTGCCTCAGCCTCCCGAGTAGCTGGGATTACAGGCTCCCTCCACCAAACCTGGCTAATTTTTGTATTTTCAGTGGAGATGGGGTTTCACCATGTTGGCCAGGCTGGTCTCAAACTCCTGACCTCAGGAAATCTGCCCTCTCGGCCACCCAAATTGCTGGGATTACAGGTGTGAGCCACCACATCCAGCCTCTTCAACATTTTTAACAAAACAGTATGTTTGTAATATTCTCGATTTTAACCTAAATATCTAAAATTGTCTGAGGTTACGAAAGACTCCACAGCCAGGTGATAAGGGTAACAGATAAGGGTAAGAGAGCTGACACTGACTGCATGCTGACAGTGTGCCGGGAAGCGCATGAGTTAACCCGCCCCACCTCACGGCAGCCTCATGGCAACTAGGACTTCAGCTTTACAGACGAAGATCCTGAGGCACAGAGAGGCTGAGCAACCTGCCCAAAGTCCCACAGCTAATGGGGGCAAGGCTGGGGTCCCAACACTGGCAGTCACTCCCCAACGGTGCTCTGCAGCCTCCCACAGCTCTGTCAGCTGTGTCGGGGGAAGCCAGGTCAGCCCTCGTTCAGAGGTGTCACTGCCCTTTAAGAAACCAACAACTCAGAACATCCCAGAACATCACTGGACACCACCCCCCAGCCACCACCAGATAAACCCAGAGCGGCACTCCCTCAGAAGCACAATTATGAAAAGTCACTGGTCAAAAAAAAAGAAAAAAAAAAAAAAAATGAAAAGTCACTGGTCACAACACTCCCAACTGTCTCCAAAAATCCTCCCCAAATTTTACTTGTGCTAGTGAATAAAGTTGAAATGCCCAAAGGCCCCAGCAATCAGGAGTTTCTTCACTACAGAACAGCAGGGAAGTGAGGGGAGCCCCAGAGAGGCTGCCTCTGCCCAGCAGAGCAAACAGGAACAGCCCGTGGGGTTTCCTACCTGGCAGGGCTGCTCCCAAACAAAGCCGTATTTGCCTTGGCTTGCTCACAGCTTTTAACAGATTCCATTCCCTTTTCTGTTTTCAATACAACATAATTCTTATTGAGTTCAAAATTAAGTCAATTAAGCTCAAAATTCAAAAAAAGAAAAAAGCCAATCAGTATCTCTTGCATAGCACACAATGATCTTGCCACATAAAAACCACCAACTTCCTCCATGCCCATTGGTCACTTAAGGAAGGTTATTCTCCCCCTAGCCTTCTGCTCAATCAACAGTTAACTTCTTGAGTACCTACTACAGTCAAAACAGATGTTGGATTCATTCAATCTCTCTCATTGCTAATATCTCCGCTTGCTGAAATCTGGGGAGATCCAAACTGGTTTCCCATAAAGGAAAACCAGTGCTGAAAAATCACAGCCAGAAATTTGAAGATCGTCTACATACACTGAGATTTAACCTTAGACTAAAGAAGCTGCTTCCCCAATTCCACCAAAAGCTAAAGCTTACTTGGTCAAATAAAACACATTTATTGACTTTTTTTTTTTTTAAGTGCAGTGGTGCAATCATAGTGCACTGCAGCCTCAAACTTCTGGGCTCAAGCAATCCTCCCACCTCAGCCTCCCAAGTAGCTGGGACTACAGACACATGCCACCATGCCTAGCTTATTTATTTCTCTTTTTTTCTTTCTTCCTTTCTCTTTTCTTTCTTTCCTTTCTTGCCTTCCTCTTTCTCTTTTTTCTTTCTTTTTCTTTTCTTCCTTCCTTCCTTCTTTCTCTCTCTCTCCTTCCCTCCCTTCCTCCTTTCTTTCTTTCTTTTTCTCTCTCTCTTTCTCTTTTGTAAAGACAAGGTCTCACTATGTTGACCAGGCTGGTCTTAAATTTCTGGCCTCAAGTGATCCTCCTGCCTCTGCCTCTCAAAGTGCCAGTTACAGTCATGAGCGATCATCACACCCAGCCTTATTGAGCACTTTCTCTAATTAAGGGTGTGGGGAAATGACACGGTTTTCATTTGTTTGCAGCAGCCTGGGAGAGTGAAGTGAGCCAGCACTGAACTAGGTGTCATGTGAGCTGGGTTCTAAAACTAGTTTTGGCCTAACTTTCTGTGTGTGCCTGGGCTCTTCCTTTCTGGACCTCAAGTTTCTTGTCAAAAATCCAATATCTTATGATCACCATTTCCCCAAAATCAAAGAAAAGGCTTTCTTTTAAATCCTACGACTATCCAAGAAGTCTCCTTGACGGTCCTGCTGAAGAATCCAGCACTGAATGGAGAGCTGTGGGTGAACACCGAAGTGTATTCACATCTACCAATTCCTACATCACTACAGACACATGTAACAGATAAGCCTCCTTTCTCTCAGCCAGGAGAAGATGGCTCCAAAGTGACAGGGCTGGAAGACAGTGGAGAGTAAGCAGCAAGATAAGGGCCTTAAGTGGCCAGGGCTGTGTGGTCAGCAGGAACAACTCAGCTGAGATAAGTAGACTTCTCCACTTCCAAGCACAGGCCATCAAGGAGGCAGACACTGGAAATAATGGGGGTTTTAAAAGCAGCCTGCATGATCATCCCTTTAAAGATCGTATCATAAATTCTGAACAACAACAACAACAAAATTCTTTTCTCATAGCAACCTTCTGATAGAACATAATGTTGGCAAGACAGACATGTATCTTCCTGAATTCCCAGCTATCTTAAAGCATGGCTTACAATCCATGCTGGTTGAGACCAGGTCAAATCTTATTCCTATCACTCTCTCCACTTCTGCTATGGTTCTCCCTCTAACATCCCTGACTCCTAAAAAGGCAATTCTGATGCACATCATATGCACCAACACACTGCACCGTGATTTATGAAAAAAAGTTACTTCCTGTCTGTTCATTTATAAAGTAACAAAAGCCAGAAAGACTTTGGCAGTCCCTCTCTAGTCTAATCCTTATAAACACAAGGAGCCCAGAAAATTGATAGAAAACAAGACCTCCAATCAGTTTCAAAGTTTCACAGGATTTCTAATCATTTCAAACACTCTTGTAGGATACATCTCTGGGTCTGAAGGAGTCAATAGCAGTGTCCTTGTGAGAACTGCCAGCAGCAGCAACTGCTAGGAGCTATTGTTATTAATAAAAATAAGTGACATTTACCAAGAATCCAATATGTTCCTGAATCTGGGCTAAGTGCCTTTATTCACAAGACCTTATGTAATCCCCACAAAAGCTTTCACGAAATAGGAACTATGATTATGTTCTCTTTATGGATGAAAAAATCGAGGCTGAGAGGTGAAGAAACTTAGTAAAGAGCAGAACCCAAAGATGAGAATCTGAAACAGGCAAGTTGCCTCTACCTCCCTGGCCCCATCCAGCCTCCAGCCTCCAACGTCCTCTGCCTGAGGCTGTGAGCTCAGAACCCCGAGCTCACTCGTTCTCTGCTAGAGGCCGTCTTAGCAGCTGCTTGTTTCCATCACTCACGCCACAGACAAACCACTGACGGCTGACAGCAGACCATCCCTGATGGTCTCCGGGGATATCCAACATGCTCAGGTCAGTCCACGCCCCCAGCGGACCTTTGCCACATCTGTCAAGGTAAAGCCTCCCAAACCCCAGAAGAACAGATCTTGGCACAGAGTCCACACAAGTGCAAATGAAGCTCAACCCATTTTATTAGGAACACAGGAGTGGCTGGCCAGCTTCAGGGTGCTGAGGGTATGAACAGATGCACAGTATCATTTCTGCTCAGAGGATGCTAAAATGCTTCACAGACACTGCACCATCTATCTTTCTTTCTCTTTCCTTTTTTTTTTTTTTTTGACATTGTTTTGCTCTTTTGCCCAGGCTAGAGTGAAGTGGCACAACCTCAGGTCACAGCAACCTCTACCTCCCAGGTTCAAGTAGCTGCTCCCTCAGCCTCAGTAGCTGAGATTATAGGTGTGCACCACTACACCCAGCTAATTTTTATATTTTAAGTAGAAACGGGGTTTCACCATGTTGGCCAGGCTGGTCTTGAACTCCTGACCTCAGACGATTCACTTGCCTCAGCCTCCCAAAGTGCTAGGATTACAGGTGTGAGCCACCACACCTGGCCAACTATCTGTTTTTCATAAGGTACCACAGTCACTACCATCCTCTCCTTAGCTTTAAGTAGTAGAAGTAAAGCTTCGCACACAGAGGCAGACAAGCTGAAAGCTTCCTAGAGATTGATTACAGGTGTCCACCATCTGATTTGGGGAAAAAAGTTATGAGGAACAAGCACGTGGTTCTCACTTACCCTTTCTATCTCTTGGAGATACAGGAGTGCGATGTCCCCTGCTTTCTCATAACAGGTGATGACATCCTGTTCCCGGTCCACATGGAGATTACTGGTAGAAGAAGAAATAGGCAGCTTCTCCAAACAAAGTCCTTAAAAAAAAAAATCACACACAAAAACTGAGTGAGTTGTTTTTCCTAAGTCTTCATTTCTAAATATTGCTCCAGAAGATGGTCCTAGAATATCATGTTGTTTGCAAATAGACAGTTTACTTCCTCCTCTCCAATCTGGATGCCTTTTATTTCTATTGATTGCCTTGTTGCACTGGCAGGAATCTCCAGCACTGTGCTGAATAGAAGTGGTGAGAGCAACCCAATTGTGGTGGCACACACCTGTGATCCCAGCTACTTGGGAGGCTGAGGTGGGATGATCGCTTGAGCCCAGGAGTTCGAGGCTACAGTGAGCCATGATCGCACCACTGCACTCCAGCCTGGGCAACAGAGAGAGACCCTGTCTCCAAAAAAAAAAGAAGTGGTGAGAATAAATAATCCTGATCCTATCCCTGATCTGAGGGAGAAAGCATTTAGTCAGAAGGCATTAAGTTTGACATTAGAAGTTTTTCTTGGATGCCCTTTACCAAATTGAGGAAGGTTCCTTCTACACCAATTTTGCTGAGAGTTTCTATCAAGAATCAGTGTTGGATTTGCTCAAATCCTTTCTCCATGTTCATTGAGATAATCATATAGCTTTTTCACTTTTCGTTTTTAAATGTGGTAAGTTACATAGACTGATCTTCAAATGTTAAACCAACCTTCCTTTCCTGGCAAATACACCACTTGGCCAGATGAATTATCCTTTTTTATATTTTTGGATTTGATTTGTTAAAATTTGGCTTCAAATTTTTTTTTTTTTTTTGAGACAAAGTCTTGCCCAGGCTGGAGTGTAGCAGCGTGAACTCTGCTCACTGCAACCTCTGCCTCCTGAGTTCAAGCAATACTCCTGTCTCAGCCTCCCAAGTAGCTGTGACTATGGTCACGTGCCACCACACCCAGCCAATTTTTTTTTTTTGTATTTTTAGTAGAGATAGGGTTTCACCATGTTGGGCAGGCTGGTTTCAAACTCCTGACCTCAGGTGATCCACCCGACTTGGCGTCCCAAAGTGCTGGGATTACAGGCATGAGCCACCACGCCCAGCCTCAAATTTTGTCATATTATGTTTCTAAGAAGTATTTGCCTGAAGTTTCCTTGAAATGCCTCCACACCTGGTTTTGATAACAGGTAAACACTAACCTCATAAAATTAGTTGAGAAACATTCCCTCTCCTTCAATTTTCTGGGAGTGTTGGTGTAGAATTGATATCATTTTGTCCTTAAATGTTTGATAGAATTCACCAGTAAAGCCATCTGGACTTGGAGTTTTCTTCGTGAGCAGCTTTTTAATTAAAAATTCTATTTCTTTGATATAGGGCCATTTGGATTATCTCTTTCTTCTTGAGTGAGCTTTAATAGTTTATATCTTCCAAATAGTTTGTCCATGTCTTGCAAGTTGTCAGATATATTGGTATAGAACTATTCATAATTTTCCATAATCCTTTAGTGCCTGTAGAATCTCTAGCAGATGGCACTTCTCTCATTCCTAATATTGGCAATTTCTGTCTTTTCATCCTGCTATCAGAGGTTTACCAATTTTACTGAAATTCTCAATTAAGATTTCTCAATGTCACTGACTTTGGTTTCACTGATTTTTCTCTATTATTCTTCTGTTTAATTTATTTCCACTCTGGCCTTTATTATGTCCTTTCTTCTGAATACATTGGGCTTTATTTGCACTTCCTATTCTAGTTTCTGGAGGTGGAAATGATTAATTTTGGACCTTTTTCTTTCCTAATATAGGTATTTAGGTGTTAGAAATGTCTCCCTAAGGACTGCTGTAGCAGCATCCTACAAATTTTGATAGGTTGTTTTTTAAATTTTCATTCAGTTCATAATATTTTCTAATTTAACTTTTGATTTCTTCTTTAGAAGTGTGTTATTTAGTTTCCAAATATTTGGGAGTTTTCCAAAGATCTTTCTGTTACTGATTTCTAAATTAATTCCATCATGATCTGTGCAGTAAAGGGCTGACTTGGAGCCTTGAGATGTTCAAACCCTGTACATTCCAGAGGAAGAACTGGCCCTTACCTGTTCCTGGGAGATAAACTCTACGCCCTTGGAATATCCTACCTGTCTTTGTTTATTTGGGGCCTTGAGCCATACCAGATAGTTTATGCCAACAATGTTATTTATGTCAGAGGACTAGGGCCATGCTTTATCAGCCTGATCTCTGGAGGGGCTGGAGAGTGACTAAGGTCAGTAACATGGGTGCTCCATGCCTATGTGACTGGCCCCTAATAAAATCCCTGGGTACTGAGGTAGCTCAAGTGATCTTCCTTGATTGGCAATATTTCAAAAGTGCTGTCACACTCCATTGCTGGGGGAATTAAGCACTGTCTATGGGACTCCACTGGGAGAAGAAAACCGGAAGCTTGAGCCTGCTCTCTCCTGAGTGCCTTTGTGCCTTTTTGCTTTCGCTGGTTTTAATCTGTATCCATTTGCTGTAATAAATGTAACCATGAGTTTAGTAGCTCTTCTGAGCTATGGGAGTCTTTCCAGCACATCAATGCCTGACGGTAGTCTTGAGGGCCTCTGACACAGTTCAGAGAACAGAGAACATACTTGAAGTCTCCTAATTTTGTTAAAACTTTTTTCTGACCCAGCATATGGTTATCTTGATAAATGTTACATTTGAAAAGAATGTGACTCTGCTGTTGTTGGTGGAATGTCACATCAATGTCGATTAGGTCAAGCTGGTATATTGTGTTGTCCCAAGGCATCTATATCCTTACCAATCATCTGTCTACTGGCTCTATTATTTATTGAAACATGGATATAAATCCCCAAGCGTAACTGTGCATTTGCCTATTTCCTCTTGAAGTTCTATCAGTTTTTGTTTCATGTATTTTAGAGCTCTGTTATTAAGATCATAAACTTGCGGAGTTGTTACATCCTTTTGATGGATTGACACCTTTGCTCTAAAACCTACGTTGTCTGATATTGATATACATACTACAGCCTTCATTTGATTAGTGTTAGCATGGTAAATCTTTCCATCCCTTTACTTTTAATCTATTGTGTCTTGGTATTTAAAGTGCATTTCTTATAGACAACCTAACTGAGTTTTGCTTATTTTCCAATCTGACAACAGCTACCTTTTAAATAGGGTGTTTAAATCATTTATACTTAGTGTAATTTAAACCTACCACTTTGCTGGTTTAAATCTACCATTTTGCTATTTTTGTTGTTGTTGTTGTTGTTGTTTTGAGATGGAGTTTCGCTGTTGTTACCCAGCCTAGAGTGCAATGGCACGATCTCGGCTCACCACAACCTCTGCCTTCTGGGTTCAAGCAATTCTCCTGCCTCAGCCTCCCCAAGTAGCTGGGATTACAGGCGCGCACCACCATGCCCAGATAATTTTTTTGTATTTTTAGTAGAGACGGGGTTTCACCTTGTTGACCAGGATGGTCTTGATCTCTTGACCTCGTGATCCACCCACCTCGGCCTCCCAAAGTGCTGAGATTATAAGTGTGAGCAACCGCGCCCGGCCAGCTATTTGTTTTCTATTTGTCCCATCTGTTCTTTTCTTCCTCTTTTTCCGTCATCTATTTGAGTATCTTTAAATTTTATTTTATTTATTGGCTTATTCACTAAAATTGTTATTTTCCATGTCAGTGATTACTTCAGGGTTTAAATTGGCATAGTCTACTTTGTTTTGTTTTGTTAGTTTGAGATGCAGTCTCACTCTGTTCCTCAGGCTGGAGTGCAGTGGTGCAATCTTGGCTCACTACAACCTCTACCTCCTGGGTTCAAGTGATTCTCATATCTCAGCCTCCCAGTAGCTGAAACTACAGGCATGTACCACCACACCTGGCTAATTTTTTTTTTTTTTTTTTTTTTAATTTTTAGTAGAGACAGCATTTCACCACGTTGGCCAGGCTGGCCTCGAACTCCTGACCTCAAGTGATCCACCCACATCAGTCTCCCAAAGTGCTGGGATTACAGGCTTGAGCCACCATGCCTGGCCCCTACTTTGAATGATATTATACTACTTCACATATAATGTAAGACTTTTGCATACTTCAATTTCTCCCCTTCCAGCCTTTATTAACTTATGTACATTTCCTTTTACACAGGTTAAAAACCTCACCCTCGCCGGGTACAGTGGCTCACACCTGTAATCCCAGCACTTTGGGAGGCTGAGGCAGGCAGATTATCTGAGGTCAGGAGTTTGAGACTCTCCTGGTCAACATAGTGAAACCCCATCTCTACTAAAAATACAAAAATTAGCTGGGCATGGTGGTGCATGCCTGTAGTCTCATCTACTCGGGAGGTTGAGACAGGAGAACTGCTTGAACCCAGAAGGTGGAAGCTGCAGTGAGCCAAGATCATGCCACTGCACTCCAGCCTAGCAACAAAGCAAGACTCCATTAAAAAAAAAAAAAAAAAACCAACTCATCCTATGTGTATTATTTTTGTTTGTCAATTATTTTTTGAAAACATTTAGATCATAAGGAAAAACTCTTGTATATTCACCAAATTATGATTTCCAGCTCTCTGTTCTTTTGTGTAAATTCATATATCCTTCTGGTATCAACATTTCTTGTGGTGTAGTTCTGCTCTTACTGGTTTCTTCCAGCTTCTATCTGCCTGGAAAATGCTTAATTTAGCTCTACTTTTAGAGAGAGATTTCCATGGAGTATGGAATTCAGGGTTGACAGTTTGCTTTTTCATCCCTCCATTACTCTTAAAGGTCTTGCTCCACTACATTCTCACTTGCATGGTTTCTGACAATAATTCTGCTACCACACTTATTTGTATGTAATATGTCTTTTTCACTGGCTGCTTTTAAGATTTTATCCTTACCCTTGGTTGTGAGCAATTTAGATTATGAAGTGCTTGGGCTTTGTTGAACTTCCTGGAACTAAGGGTTATAGTTTCCATAAAATTTGAAAAATATCCAGCCATTTTTTCTTAATGTTTATGTCATCCTCCTCCTTCCTTAGGGAACTTTATGCATATATTAGGCCATGTGAAGTTGTCCTACAGATCACTTATGG